CAATCTTCTCTGTATCATTCCAATTTTAGTATATGTGTTGCTGAAGCAAGCACTCAAAGACTTTCTTTAAAGTGATTAGCCCCAGCTGCTTTAGCCCAAGGAAGAGGGGTAAACCATTGCCCCTAGTTCCTGACCTTGAACTAGGAAGGAAAGTGAATACCTCCTGGGGGTAGTTGGATGAGGGGGTGTCAGGTGGGCCAGAAGACCCAGGGGCACTTACTTTGGTAGCCTCAAGCTGGGATTCCAGGGTTCCCGATTCTTCCACCATGCAGGACCTGAACACAAAAGCACAGTGAGGAAAGTGCCCAAGTGTAACAGACCTGGAGCTCAGCAGAACTATCCTCTGGTACAACAATGGCAACCTCATGTTCCTTTCATGAAGGAAAGAACACCTATCTAATTGGCTGTCAGTTCCTAACTGGCCCTGGAGTCAGGGAGGGCAACTAAAAGCTCTACCATTTCAGACAGGAAGCTGCCACCTGACATGTGGGCCAGGACCTTTTCTCAGGTGGCTCCTCAGGTGACGGAATAGTGGAGTTTAAGTTCCCCCGTGGGAGCAGAGCATCCTCTGTAGCCATGGGGAGGAGACTCCCTGCACACCCTGCCCCCAAATGGGCGGCTTTAGGGCAGAGGCTGAGAACCCGACAGCCACCCTCAGAAACCTGGGAGACCCTGGCAGGTTCCTGAGGAGGGAGGGAGCCATAGCCCAGAGTGAAAGCACAACCTTCAGACACAGGAAAAGAGGGAACGGGTGCACCAGGAGCTCATGACCAGTGTGGGGTTTTAAAGTGGTTCTAATGGTTCCCAAGGAGGGAGATGACTGTGACTAAGCCCCAGATTAGGGTTCTGTAATTTTGACTCAGCCAGGGTCAGGATCTCCTTTCCAGGGCCAAGTTCTGAAGAGCAGATGGGTTTTGGGGAGATTCCTTCTCCCTAGGATGGGACAGTATGAGGTCATAGAAGGCTAACAATGAACAAAGACTACAAAATGAGTTTGGGTACGTGCAGGGACAAGTTCACACAGTGCACATGTACTTAGTAGGGTTTCAGCCCAGCCTCCCTTGTATCCACATTTGTCCCCACCTACACTTTTAATACCCAGCGAGCCAAGGTTAGCTCTGAAATATCCCCAATTCAAAGTGCTCTAGCAAGGCAAGGCACCGCACCAGGCTTCCTCCTACTCCAGCAGGTCAGACTCACAGTCACACCACGTCCCCTGGGAAAAGCACAGCCCCTAGGACCTGGGGGCAGGAGGCGGGGTGCCAGTGCAGTGGGAGGAGGACAGACCCTCCTTCCCAAGCGGTGGGTTAGTCAGAAAGCAGAGCCGCCTGGGAAAGTCAAGAGTGCATTGGTAAAACCACAGTGAGGTAAGAAGAGAAATAAGAGGAGAAAAACCTTCCAGACAGATCATCCCCAACTTCATACTGATAGACACGAATGACGCGACGATACGCTATGCTAGTCAAAGGAAAGAAACCAGTGAATACACCAAGGGGAGAGGCAGGAGCACACCGCGAGACATAACGCCACAGCTGGCAGTGCACAGGCAGTGCACAGGCAAAGGCAACCTGGTGCCGGGCGGGTACCTGGAGGTGGGAGGCCCCACAGCCCAGCTTGGGGCAGCTCTGCTGGGACTGGGGGAGATGGGATGGGGCTGGGGAGGAGCCACAAGGTGAGGGGATTATGTCCCTCCATGGAAACAAGACCGAGACCAGTAGACATTATGTGGGCAGAAGGAGAGCCAGGTGGCTAGGCTGTCCCTGGGGATCAGGCCAGAACGGTAGGCCCCACATCCCCACTGGCTCTGCTGCCAGCATGTGCAGCTAGACTGGTTTGGGCACCTTTCTCTCCTGGCCACCCCTGCAGCCTGACGTGCAGCCTAAGCCACTGTGTAATCCCACTGGCCCTGGCCTGTGCAACAGGGAACACAAAGGGGACCCACCTAGGCAAAGGCCCTGGGCCGGCCTTGTGGGAGGTCCTGCTGTCACATCATGATGAGAGCATTTTTGCCTTCTATTGTGTCAGACAGTCGCTGTTACCCACCTCTCCACTAGAGAACATGGAGGGCAGCCTCTGTCCGCTGGAGGCAGGGTTACTACACGGCCCTTCCTTTCAGCTCTGGACTTACAGACCCAGCCTGAGCCCCTAGCACTGTCATAAGCTTCATGCCTATAATCACCCAGGCACATATTGGGGCAATGAGGTGAAAGAGTTCAGCCCAGCAGCTGACAGGCATGGGCTTCCCAGGTTTTGCTCTCCAGCTCTGGCCTCCTTGCTTGATCCCATTTCCTTGGAATCTCAACAGAAAGGTGGTGTGGCTCCCTCCCCAGCCCGAGGGCTCTGACAAGACAGTGGGCTGTTGTGGGGCAAGGCACTTGCTCCTTGTGAGGTGACAGGGGCATGGCGGGTGGGGGAAGTACAGCCCACCCCAGGGTCCTCTGCAAGCCAGGCCGTGGGATGGGGGCAGAGGGGCAAGCACACGAGACACCACCACACAACGGCCCGGGAAAGAAGGAGACAATATTAACCCGTCGAGGAGATACGTCCTGTGGAGAGGAGATCCAAGCAGCCGCGAGACAAGGTGGCATCCGGACAACAGCGGCATTCAGGAGGTAGGGGACAGAGAGAAGACACAAGAAGAAAAACAAAACCAAGAGCATCAGTGCCCCCGTGGCAGACGCTGTGCCATCTGTTGCCGACTTGCAGCTAGGGGCTAATAGGAGCTCTGCGTGGTCTCACTCGATCTAGGATCCCAGCAACCCAACCTCTGCAGAGACGGCTGTTCTGATTCTGCCTCCCCTTCTGCTCCGGGCCTGACCAGGCTAATGTTGACCCCGTTTATTCCAAGCCAGCTCTGTTTATTTTTTTTTTCAGTTTTTTTTTTTTTGGCCGGGGCTGGGTTTTAACCTGCCACCTCTGGCATACGGCGCTGGCGCCTTACTCCTTTGAGCCACAGGCACTGCCCTGTTTTTTTTTTTTTTGAGATAAAGTCTCACTAAGTCATCCTCAGTAGAGTGCCATGGTGTCACAGCTCATAGCAACCTCAAACTCTTGGGCT